TATTATTATTATTATTATTATTATTATTATTATTATTATTATTATTATTATTATTATTATTATTCAGAGTCGCTGGCAGTAGTATGTATCGTTGGAACTCACTTGAGAAGGCTTCTTAAGTTTTTGGCGTTCTCTAGCAGCAATCTCGCGAACATCGCTGTTCATTGCCACTGAAGGGGCCTGGGCGGCAGATGCGGCAAGAGCGTTTTGGACCCAGTGCCTGGCTTCCATTGTTTCTGGGCGTTCCACAACAGTGGTCACAAAACGCTGCGCTTGGAGACTTTTGAGGAGAAGCTCTCGGCACACATCCTTATCAGTAACCGGACGACCGTCGATGTCGATCAGGTGGTCGCCAACTTGAAGCTGCTGCGATGCGAGCGAATTCGGATCACAGCGCGATACAAGCACTCGATTCTGGTAGTGCTTGATGCCGAGACCAAGCTTGGGACCGCCGGGTTTCCAATCAAGTCGTGCTACCTGAAAAAGCAACCGTTTACTTTTCTGTTTCGCAGCAATGATTTTCTTTTTTCGATGTTGCATTGCCGCTTCTCAGAAGAAAAATCAGTATGGTTCTGGCTTTGATATCTCCAGGGTACCCTTACTCCGAACGTTTCGAAAAAACTTGGAGTGATGAAATTTTACCGGCTTTTTTCAAAACCTTGTAACTAATTTTGCAAACAGTCACAGTATTTCACAAAATGTGGTAAAAATACCCGCGCATTAAGGCCTCAGAAAATTTACGAAATTTTTATAAATTCTTTTCCCTAACTTTTTTTGCCTTGAAAATTTCCTAAATAATTTTGTTTTTTCCCAACTTTGTCTCTCAGATCTAAATTCCTGAAACTTTTCTTGGTTTTTACCATGTCAAATTCATTTTCAAGAAAAAATCTATTCCAACAGTGAAATTTTGTTGTGCTTTTACATGATTCGTTTGAAGAAGACTTTTCTTCTTAAAAATACAAAAGGCGCACCAAGCTGTACAGACTGTCCAACTGGGCTTAGAGAACTCGATGAGCTAGTGAAGGCCGAAATATTTGGTGAGTTGTGAATAACATTAGCGTAAAGTTATAACTTACGAAATACGCATATCCGTCACGGCGAGTGATGAATTTAGCGCGCTCCGGTGGGATATGCATCTTGGCCTCAAGTTCCGCTGCTTTTTGCTCATCCCGTACCAGTGTTAAGGTTGCACATGGCGGTGCAAAACGGAGAAGCTGGAAGAAATGGTCACAGCTCTGCACCATTGTATCGTTCAGCTTTAGCACCTGGTCGCCAACCTGAAGCACAACTTCCTTAGTCCAACATGATGGAACTTCATTTTCCCACCCTCCTCTGGTACCTGAATTTTTGCTCAGTTAAATGTATCAGCTTTTCAGTCATTTTTTAAGTGTATTTTTGCGAGTTCCGCGGCTTGAGAACTTTTCTCTCTAACTGGTAAGACCGTGTTTTATTGCCCATAAACAATTATCATTTTTATCTTTTAGGAAATAAAAACAACAAATTAGCAGACAATTCCCGACTATATAACGCTCGCTGGCTTTGTTTTCAAATTGCCTCCAGGATCATCTGAATAAAAACGGTGTGGGCATCCCATGCTAGTGATATTACCAATTATCCGGCAAACTGACACTACAGGTGAAGAAAATGACGCAAAATATCCGCTTCGCAGCGACTGCTCGTAACCTTTAGCTTCCCATCAGCAAGCGTCCCTGGTTGCACCTTCACAATAACAAGTTTGTCATTGGGTACCGCTCCAAGTGGATCACCCTCCTCCATCGGAATTGCAACCGATATTTCCTTTGCCATTTTGAGTCCCCGGCTATCGCTGTTCAGCTGCTCCAAATGAGATAAAATGAACTAAATGGCCCAGTCGCTCCAAAACCTGCCTTAAATACTGTCTCATGCTAATTCGTTGATTTTTAATGCAGAATTTGCTTACTATACCCGTTGATTTCTGCATATTCATACTAACTTTTTGATGAATATGCAAACATCTCTAGGCGCTAAGACTACAATCTCGTCATGTTCTAATAGTCGCAGCGGCCCAAGTTAATGATACCTGAAAATAACTAGAATCTTGCCAAGGGCCAATTTTCAAAGAATTATTAAGCGGGCTAATTCTTCAAGAGACACCTAGTAGAAAGATACCCGGCTGCCGGTACGAGGATGCGTTTTTGCGCAGTTCCCCCCGCAGGTTTTTTTCGCCAGCGGCACGTTCTTCCTGGCAGATGCTTCTACCTAAAAGAATTGGGACTGGCCACCACAACTGTTAGAAATTATTACAATGACTCCCAATCCATGCCCAGAAGATCCAGC